GAGGGGAGTGGGGTACCACCCGCCCGCCATTTAGAGGCCCTCAGACCACTAGACTTCCTACTCTTCCTACTTTAGTCTTGTGAGTCGTCCCCACTGGACCTTGTACTCACCATCTAGGTGTTTCGAGTCTGGTTCCACGAGCTCATCCGTGGTCGCTTCGAGGGCAGCCTTGGACACAGATGACCCCATGTGTGCGTCGTAGACGGCCGGCCACGAGGGCGATGGCTGCTGAGGTGTGGCTCCTCCTCTTCCTGTCGGCCGACTGAGCGGCGGCGGGGCGGACCGAGCAACGGGCCACACCCCCTGGCAACGGGTGAGGCCCCTGAGGTGACGAAAGAAAGGCCTGACCTGCAGTCAGCTTGCACCTTGGTGACCTTTTCACAGACCCTGAGGCAGACCTGCTGCATTATGTCGTGGGATTTTCAAATGTGAGGCGGGAGACATGTTTCTGCAGGGAAACTGGGAAAGATGGCCGTGGGTCCCCGAACGAGGCCTAGGGCGGGGCAGTTCCTGAGAGGCCACCGTGGGACCTTTGCAGAGTAGACGCTCCGAACACAATCAACAACACCATTGAATGAATAGGATGACGAAGGGGGATATTTTGGGGGGCTCCAGATGAAAGCTCTGGAAGTGGTCACGTGACGGTACTTAGGGAATCCTTTGTGAGGGACGCTTCGATCACACATTATGGGAGCTATATCCTGCCTGCGGTGATGTCCTCATTCAGCATCAGATATACCAGTCCATCCAGTTTGTTTAACAGTATTCCTTTGTTATCCTTTTAATGTCTGCATAATCAGTAGTGATGTTACTTCTGAGGTTCTTGATATTGGGAATGTTTAAGTCGTCTCATTTTTATCTTGATAGGTCTGGCCAGAAAGTTATCAATTTTATTGATCATCTCCCTTTAGGTTTCACTGATTTTTCTCGATAGTCTGTCTAATATTCCATTTATTTCTCTTCTTATCTATATTATTCCCTGTCTTCGGCTTGCTTTCACTTTCTTTTGCTCTTTATTTTCAGGTTTCTTAAGGTAGGATAGCTGACTTACTTAAGATTCTTGTCTTTTAATAATATAGGCATTTAGTTAAGCACTGCTTTTGTTGCAAAGAACATATTTCTGATGATTTCAGTAAATTAAAACTTGTTATTTTGTGGCACAAAATATGCTCTATCAAGGTAAATGTTCTGAGTGAAATTTTCTTGAAAATATTCTAGTTTTATATACTTGGCCAGCATACATACAAAATTGCAAATACTAAATGTAACGATGACCTTTAAATTCTTTATTTTGTACATCTGTTGGAAGTGTGAATTTTTCATCTATAAGAAATTGTATTGAAGTGTTCAGTTCACCTTCTTACACAAAGTTATGCCTACCCTGGTTTGAACATCAAATGTATGTGTTCAGAAAAAATTCAAAAAAAGAAAATTGTTTTTCAATTACAGTTTACTTGCAATATTATTTTGTATCGATTTTGGGTGTACAGATTAGTGGTTAGACAATCATACACTTTACATAGGTTTCCCCTTAATACTTCCAGTATCCAACTGGTACCATACATAGTTATCACAATATTACTGACAATATTCCCTATGCTTG